AAGGGCGGTGCGGGGAGGGGAGGGTTGGAGGGACGAGGGGGAGGGGAGGAGGGAGGGACGGGAGGGAGAGGGAGAGAGGAGGGGAGGGAGGAGGACCGGGAGGGATGATGGGGGAGTGGGTGACCAGAGTTGGCCCAACATACAGCACCGACATTGCAACGCGCCCTCGCGTCCTAGATGCGCTTCTCACGAATGTATGCAAGTATCCCCTCTCACTGCGACGAGCACGAGCGCGGCGTCAGGAGGGGGACGAGGAAGACGAGGAAAGCAAGATGAGGTCCCTGGAGGTCTCTGGAGGCACAGGCACAACCATAAACCTTAAAAAGTTGATCCTCGATCCTCGATCCTTCGAGCCTCGCGTCGAAGATGGGGAGGAGAAGGAGCAGGAGAATGAGGAGGATGAGGAGGATAGGGGGGAGGAGCAGAGGACGCTTCTTGGTCTTCCAAGCCTTCCTGCTCTTGACCCCGCCGCCCTGCTCACCTGGCCCCAGCCTCAGCTTGCCCAGCATCGCGCCCGGCTCGACGCGGGCGAGAGGAGGGAGGGCAGAAACAGGAGGATGAGGAGGAAGACGATGGGGAGCAGGATGAGGAGGAGGAGGAGGAGGAAGACGATGGGGAGCAGGATGAGGAGGAGGAGGAGGAAGAAGAGGAGGACGACGAGGAGGAGGAGGAGGAGGAGGAGGAGGAGGAAAAGGACCTGGCGTGAGGAAGAGGATGATAATGAGGTGGAGGAACAAGGAGGGGAGGAGGAGGGGGAGGAGGAAAATGGGAACAGGGGGAGGATGTGTGGGGGGCGGGGGGAGAGGGGTGGGAAGAGGAGAAGGATGATGCAGGGCAGGGGGATGACGACGAGGAGGAGTGCATACGGAAAAGAAAACGTCAGGAATGAAGGTGGACAAGGCGGGTGAAGAACGGCAATCATCGGAATCAACATGGTAGTTCGCAGCTCCTTGAAGACACTAACTTACACGGGGCAGCCGAACTAATCTATAGGCGAAGCTCAGCTGCTGCTGGGGCAACGGCTTCGCGTTGCACGCGGCCTCCCGAGCCTCATTGAGGATCGCGCACGCTGCGATCGTACGTGGGAAGCCCTCGCAGCAACATGTCTGGAATTAGATAACCTCCACCTGGGCCATGATGATGGGCCCCCCCGAACCCGCTGGGTGTCCGCCAATCGATGCTTGGGTGGAAATGGCAGTCCTGGCTCATGGGGCCCATGAGGCTGTGGACTTAGCTGCCCCAACACGCAACACGCAGCTCGCAGCGTGCTTGACATGCAGCTCGACACGCAGACCGAACACGTAGGTCTGGCGCGATACGTTCGCCAAAACGTGGGCCAACTCGCCGATCTAACCCGCAGCGTGCCAACACGGACACGTCTTGAACACGGCACGTGCTGCTTGTCAGCACGGGCGCGTCAGGGCAGCTGAGGGCTCGACGGAGCAGCGGCGCGCCTCCTCCGGCTCCGCTTGCTGCCCGGGGGAAGGCTGGCGCGCCCACGTTACGGCCGTCCTCCCCTCTCGCCACCGCCCGGGCGCCCATTCCCCGTGCATGTTTCGGCCTCGCGCGTATACTTCTCGCAAGATGATCCAGGAGGCTCCTCGATGGTCCTCGCCGAGAATCAAACGCACACGTCCGAGCGATGCCAGGTCCCCTTTGTCCAAAGCGGCTGCCTGAATGCGTGGCCCGAGTCGAAGCAGGACCTCAGCCCCACGCGGCTCTGTAGGTTGTGCACGAACATCCACCCCCAGCAACCTGGTGCAGGGGCATGGCCAAAATGACACTGGAACAGCACTACCTGCGAGACAAGGGGCAGCACACCGCGAGGGCAGCGTTGTGATACGCGCCGTTGCGGGTCGGCGACGCCCGAGAACATTGCGGGGGTGCTCTGCAGGACCTTGTCCTAAACGTGAGCGGGGGCTACGCGAGGACGCCCGTGGAACCTGCGCAGGAAAAGCCCCGGAACTAGGAAGGCACCAACTATACACCAACACCGATCCTGGCCCAGGGTGATCCTGGGCCAGGATCGGTGTTGGTGTATAGTTGGTGCCCTCCGAGGAAGGGGAGGAGGGCCTGGGAGATCACGGTGAGGACCACGAGGGGCAGGGCGTGGACGGCGACCAGCCTGGGAGCGCGGGCGGGATCCGCGAGCGCCGCGACTCAAGAGGGGTAGCCCCGCCGACAGACATGGGGGGGCCCGCGCTCGCTCGAATCGGGCATCAAGCACGCTGACAAGCGAGGCCAGCACACGCGACTGGGAAAGGGGGTGGCTGCCATCAAGGTGCCCTTGCACCACACCTCCCTGCCAGGGGCCGTGCTCGACAAGCCGCCCCACCAGCCTCGACAACATCAAACGATGGCTTCGCCCATCTTGGGGTTCAGCCCTCTCGCAGCACACTTGATCTTGAGGATATGCGACGGTATTGTGCTGGGATGGGTGGTTCGAACTTTGCACCTCGCGTTGAGCCCACGACAAGACCCGTCAGGCATGACACAGCAATCCGAGCACACCGAACACCACAACACTCCCCCAGTCTTTTCAGCTCCGTGCCCGAGCTCCGAACACTCCTCGAGCACAGCAGCGTGAGGCTCATCATTCGCTCCCTGGGAAAGGAGGACCTCGCCTGCCAGCCTCCTTGCCTCTTGCACCGCCTCGGAGGCAACAGGGACCGCCTCAGCGCCAGACAACCCGAAACTCTCGCGCGCCGGCGGCCTCCTGTACGCCGTGGGGGGTCGCAAGCTCGGCGGCTCCGTTCGCAGCTGCGCCGAGGAAGTCTCGGGGCAGGGCGTGGAGGAGGAGGAGGAGGAGGAAGAGGATGAGGATGAGGAGGAGGCGGAAGAGCAGAAGCGGGAGGGAGAGGCAGCGGATGAGGAGGCAGGTGCGGCATGACAGAGAGGGAGGAGGTGGAGGAGGCAGAAGAGCATGCGCGCGAAGCGTGAGGATGAGCAGGAGGATCAGGGATAGGTTATGGGGGCGTCACAAGGGGGGGGGGGGGGGGGGGGGGGGGGAGAAATGTGGGGGAGAAATGTGCACTCCTCGTGCCCCTTTTGGGCCCCGGGTACCCTTTCAAGATCCCGAAGGTGCACAGGAGGGGCACCTCTCTTCACCCCACAAATTGATCGCTGGCGCCTGGGGTCCTCCCACCTCCTCCTTCCGGGAGGGGGAGAGGGTCGCGGAAGACGGTCCGAGCCTGGCGCAGGCGAGTGGCGGAGCGGAGCGCCACCCCTGAGCCTTGGACACAGCTGCGGGCGACCAGCGATGAGGACGACGGCAACTGTCACGGCATGCGGCATGCGGCGGCGACGGCGACGACGGGGGCGACGGCGACGACGACGGCGGCGACGGCAGGGGCGACTGGCGTCGACGGGTTGCGACTGCCATCCGGTCGGAAGAGGGGAGCATGGAGAGGGGATGAAGCGGAGGACGAGGTGGAGGAAGGGGAGGCGGGGAAGGAAAGGGGGGAGGAAGAACGGAGCGGGCTGGAACGGAATCGCTGGAGGCGTCGACGGTGGGAGAAAATGCGCGTCTCGTCATCTATCCATGCCAGGGAAAATATGGAATAGGGGATGGATGAATAAGAATGGGGAGGAGGGGGACGAGAAGAAGGTCGACAACTAGCAGGAGGAGGGGTAGGGGAGGGTTGAGGGGGAGGGGAGGATCGCGCCCTGACGGTCGCACGCGGGGATGATAGTCAGACTTGCAAGCGAGAGCGAGCAACCAGTCTGCGTGCTCCATAGGGATCTCCCAATCCTCACGCGTAGGACCGACGTGTAGACGGTCTCCTCACGCGATCTGCTACAATGGTGGAGGACGGGAGGACGTAGCGAGGTAATGCAAAGAGGCGCCAGAGGCGAGGACAAGTGGGGTGATTGGCGATCGGGTCGAGCGCTCCGTCGCATTGAAAGTCCCCCCCCTGCTGGCCCAGGATATGCATGCGATGGATAGCTATTCCGCTCCCGCAAGAGATTCAATGATGGGCCTGGAAAAGGAAACGTGCGACGCCTGTGTTACAGGTTTGAGGGACCGCTACGGGGGTCCAAAGGAAGCCACGATCTGATCTGGGAGCCAGGCGCGCACGCGGTTCTCCAGCGTCAGGTGCAACCTACCAGGGAACACCGACTGGGTGAAGAAACGGCCGTACACCCCCTGCAACTGCGGACGCTTCTGAAGAACTCGAATGAACACCTCTGCTTGGAGCGCGGCCTTGACCGCCACCCGTTGGGGCTCTGATGGGGGCCTTCTGGAGCGCAGTGCGTGAGACACGGCCACGCAGAAACTCAACAATCAGGGAAGGCGAACGCAGGAGCGGAGGGGCCAGGGTCCCTGCACGATCCAGAATAGCGTGCCATGTTCAAACTGTGTATCCTCAGGCTCTCGGAACCATATCGCTCAGACGGGGACGGCCTTTGCGGCCGTCCTCCAGCTGGTGGCTGCAGCGTAGAGAAGCAAGGCAAACTGATCAGCAAATGGGCTTCAATTCGTGATCGCCCAAATGTGTGGGCCCGGAAGACTGCAGGGCGGCCACTTCAAAACTTGTGTATGCATCGCGGCTCGTTGGTGAGGAACGAGCGTGAAAGAGGGAATAACTGCGAAACAAACTATCCTACAAACATCACCGCATTTAACGCGACGTCGCCAGGTGGCTTACTGGGCGAGACAAGACTATATTCCCTTACTCTGCCACCTTTTTGCCTCTAGCCTCTTTTAGGATATCCTCCAGAGGGATAGGCCTGTGAGGTGGGATGGGGGAAGAATGGGAAGTGCTTGCTGCTATGGCCCCCCGTTTTCGATTCACTCGGCTACATCTTCAAAGGGAACGGGGCGATGACTGCAGGCTCATGGACACGAGATCAGGTGCTAGCTGATGCGTGCCCCCTTTCTCTCCCTTCTGCCTCCCGAACACGGAGTGGAACACACTCATGCCTACGGAGTCGAGTCGAATCGACGAGGACGGGGTGGGCGAGGACGGGAAAGGGTTGGAATAGGAGGAGAAGAAGAGACGAGAACATGCTTTTCACTCGATGGCAGAATGTCCGCGGTGCTCGCACGCGGACCCGATAGCCCTCAGCTGAGGGAGGAGGACGAGCACCGGCAACAGGACAGCGAGGGAGATGAGCGCAGGGCGCCGACTACGCTGAAGCGGCTGGGGCAGCGTCAGCGTCCGCGACAGCCTCGCGGTGGGGGAGAGGAGGAGGGCCGAGGACGAGGACACTAGCAGAGAACGATGGATGTCGGGGGGAGGAATGGAGGAGGAGGAGGAGGAGGAGGAGGAGGAGGAAGAGGAGGAGGAGGAGGAGGAGAGGAGGAGGAGTGGAGGAGGGGAGGCGGAGGAGGAGGAGGAGGAGCAGAGAGGGGGGACGAGGAGGAGGGGAAGTAGGAGGAGGAGGAGGGTGGGAGGGGAGGAGGAGGAGGAGGAGGGGAGCCCAGCATAGGGAGGAGGAGGAGGAGGAGGAGGAGGAGGGAGAGGAGGAGGAGGAGGAGGAGGAGGAGGAGGAGGAGGAGGGAGGAAAGGCAAGGTGGAGGTGGTGGTGGTAGCAATTCGGGAAGATGATGATGATGAGGAGGGAGGAGGAGGCGAGGGGGGCGTGATGTAGTGATTGGGGTGATTAGGAGGATGAGGGGGAGGGGGAGGGTGGAGGAATAACATTGTCGAGGAGGAGGAAGAGGATGGTTATCCTCCTTTCCCTCCCCGTCCTCCTCGACCTTCTAATCCCGATCGTCCGTCCTCGACCCTATTCTTCCTCCTCGCCGACCTAGAGGAGGGCAGATGAGGAGGAGGAGGAGGAGAATGAGCCTTGCCACCCTGTTCGTCGCGGGTGCCATCGTCCTGGGGCAGGGGCAGGCCACCCGGCAAGCAGACGTTGTACCCCTTGAAGACGCCCCGCTTCGTCACCTGCGCGTCCTCCTGCTCCTCCAACCTCCTCCTCCAACACCCTCGTCCTGCTCCTCCAACTCATCCTCCATCTCCAACCCCACCTTGTCCCCCCCATCCTACTAGTCCCACCCTCCTCATCCTTCCTCTCCTCCTCTGGACTTGTTCTTGTTACAATTCTTATCTTCCTCCACTCGTCGCTTTCCTGGAAAAACACATGAGCCTCAATCCGCCCGCTCCCCAGGATACTCCCCTCCCTCTCCTACTACAGCAACGTCCTCCTTCACTTCATCCAATTTCCTCCCCTGGTCGTCACCGTTTCTGACCCCGAAGCTTGACACGGATGGGAAGGGTGTCGTCGCGTACATTTGCCCCACACGCTTCCGAATATTACTCGGATGGAGGGGTGGTGGTCTTCAAAAGTGGCTCCCGCTTTGGTCCCGCGCGCGCTCGTCCCAAAGGCGTCCAACACTGTCATGGGAAGAGGGCTGTTCCTTTTCAAACGGCGACTCTGCCATACCGCCGCCCGCATTCATTTTGACAATTTTCGTCCGTTTCACGGAGAGGGGGCGGCTCCTTATCGAGCCGTGCCTTTCGCCACAGCGCCGTGCACATTCGCCTCAAACGGCCCCGGCAGTTACACACATGGAGACGGAGCTTTCAACGAGCAGTCCTCGCCCTGGCGCCGCGCACGACTGCTTGGGAAACTTCTGCATGCTACATGGACAGAGGGCGACTCCTTGTCAGATCCGCCGGCCCGCCTGGGGTGTGTGAGGAGGCCTTTCGACGCGAGGCCAGCCCAGCCCGAACTGAAGTGCGCCAGCTTCCTTTGAATCGTCGTCGTCGTCGTCGTAAGGGAAATCGAAGAAAGAAGGGGAATGACGAACGTTGCAATGACATCGAAGGGCAGCCCCTTCCCCTTGTCCCTTCCCCGCCCCCGCCCCGGCCCTGGGCCCTGGCCTCGGCCCTGGCTCCAGCCCTGGCCCCAGCAAAGGAGGCTCCCAAGAGAGCCCCAAGAAGAGCTCCTGAGCGTCAGCGTCGTCGTCGTCGTCGCCGCCGCCGCCGTCGTCGTCGTCGTCGTCGTCGTCGTCGTCGTCGTCGTCCTTCTGGGTCAGCGGCACCGGCCGTGAGGCCTTTACAATCAGAAATGGATCCCTATGTTCAGAACTCTGACGTCGTACAGCAGCTACACCGATGCAGGACTCCGTCTCAGCCTCCTTCATTTTTCGACACCCACTTGCCCATCCTGGCCCCTTCGTTGCCCATCGCCGTCTTACTCAGGTCGTCGTCGCCGCTACCCTGCAGGGCATCGGATTCAGGCACGTGGCCCGTCGCGCCACCCTGCTGAAGAGAGGATCCCCCCTCCCACCCTTAGGGTGGCAGCTTGACCCAGCTCGGGTCCCAGCAAAAGGGGGTATAGCCGCACCTGGGTCCAATCTCCCAGGACCAAGGGCAAACTTGGCAAGGCACCAGACGCCATGTGACAGGGTCTCGATACCTACATGGTTGCTGCTCCTTGAACTCCCAGCCACCTGGGGATTTTCCACCCTTTGAGGGACTGTAGGAAAGTGAATGGGTATAACACCAAAGATGGTTAGTCTCTGGCGAGGGTAAGTCCCTTAAGACAAACAATCATTCACTAGCCCATTCGAGCTTGCCTTCTCCTCCCACCCCGTCCTTCATCCTCTCCTACTCCTCCTCTAATCCTCCACTCCTCCTCATCCTCCCCCTCCCACTCTCTTCTTCTCGGTTCCTTGCCCTTCCTCCTCCTCCTCCTCCTCCTCCTCCTCCTCCTCCCCCTCCACTTTTCTCCACCAATTCCAGCTACCTCCTCCTCCCCTACCCCCCCCCCCTCCTCCTCCTCCTCCTCCTCCTCCTCCTCCTTCTCCTCCCTCTCCTCCTCCTTCCTCCCTTATCCTCCTCCTCATCCTCTAATGTCTCTTCTCATCCTTCTCGCCCCCTCCCTGTTCCTGCCCTTTGGAGACCCCTACGCATCCCTTGTCCAGCTGCCACACTCGACCTGCAGGTTCTTTCCTGCTGATGCTACTGCTGCTGCTCCTCCCCTCCTCCTCCTCCTCCTCCTCCTCCTCTCCCTCCTCCTCCATTCCTCCTCCTCCTCCTCCCCTCCTCCTCACTCGTCCTTGGGCGGGAAAGCGGAATTCCTCTCGCGCGGTGCGTCGTGCTGCCATCCCTCCCCCCATCCGCCTCTTCCTCTCTCCTTCTCCTCCTCCTCCTCCTCCTCCTCCTCCTCCTCCTCCTCCTCCTCCCCCTCCTCCCCCCTCTGAAGGCTACGTCACCCAAATTCCGAACTCGATCTGCAGATTCTCATATCGGCCAGGGTTGCCCCCACCGCAGTTCATCTCCTGCGTCTCCACACGGATCTCCTCGGGGACGCCTCATGCGCACGGTGATGATGCTGACGATGGTGGTAATGATGCCGATGACGATGGTGATGACGATGTTGTTGATGATGATGCTGACGATGATGACGACGATGATGACGATGAGGGTACTGATTTTGATGATGCTGATGCTGATGCTGATGAAGATGAAGATAAAGATGAAGATGAAGATGAATTTGATGCTGCTGATGATGATGCTGATGATAAGGATGGTGGTGATGATGATGATGAGGACACGACTGATCATGCTGATGTTGAGGTTGATGAGAATGTTGAAGAGTGTGATGATGCTGCTGCCGAGGATGATGCTGCTGATGATGATGGTGATGCGTATGGTGATCATGACCGTGATGATGAGTATGATGATGATATTGCTGATGGTGATGATGATGCTGACGATGTTGATCGTGATAACGATGCTGATGCTGATAATGCCGATGATCCTGATGTTGATGCTGATGAGGGTGCTGATGATTGTGAGGATGCGACTGCTGCTGATGATTAGTATACTGATCATGCTGATGCTGCTGCTGATGATGATGCTGGTTATGTTTTGCCGTTTATGATGCGGACGGCGATGTTGATGTTGATGCTGATGATGTTGTTGTTGATGATGAGGATGATGATGATGATGCTGATGCTGATGATGGTGGTGATGATGAGGACGACAATGGAGATGATGATGTTGATGTTGATGGTAATGAGAGAGGGATGACGTCAAGGAGGGAGGCGAAGGAGAGGAAGGGACAGAAGTGAATCGGAGGAGGATAATGATGGCGAGGAGGAACACACCTTCTCTGTCGTACTGGAAACCCGGGTCAATCTTGATGTAGCCGAAACCCCTCTGTGGAGCGAAGAACTTCAGTGTCCCCGTGTACCTCAGGTCCCGGCCTCCAACGAACTCCTTCTTGGTATCCAAGCTCTCCTGAGCGGGCACCGAGCGAGGAGGAGCGAGGCGGAGGGGAGGATGACAGTGACGAGCAGGAGACCGAGCGTTCCCCCTCGTGGGGTGCTCCTTCTTCCCCTCATCCTCCTCATCTTCATCTTCCTCATCTTCTTCCTCCTCCTCATCATCGTCATGATCCTCGCTCTCATCCTTCCCTCCCCTTGAGAGCCGATCCCGGGACCCTTCTGGAGCGAGTCCTGACCAAGATCTCTAGGTGGATCCAGCCGTGGCGACGAAGGCGAAACACGTCAAGCTCTTCGTCGAACACTCGCTTGCAGATAATAAGTGTTACAGCCCTATGGCAGCGGTTCCGAGCACTCTCGCCTCGACGTTAGCTGAATGTTCTGTGAAAGCGAGGCTCCCGCTCGAATGCGGACTTCATGCCACATCCCAGCACTTGAAGGCCCAACTGCAGCGACAACGGCTCAAGTTCGCTCCTTCCTCGCAATTTACCTCCGATCCAGGAACGGCGCTCTCGTTCGAGAACTTCCCGCAATTCAATCAAGTTGGTGAAGGCCCAACTGCGACGGCAACGGCTCCATTTCGATACTTCCTCGAAGTTTACTTCCACGCCCCTGGGCTGGAGTCGCCCCCGCTCTCAGGAATGACGCTCGCGCCCGAGATTTCCTCGCAGTCCGCTTGGGGTGGTGAAGGCCCTACTGCGACGACAACGGCTCCCGATCGATACTTCCTCGCAGTTTACTCCAACGCGCCCTGGTCAGATGTGTTCGCATACTCAGGAATGGCGCTGTCGCTCGACCACTGCTGAATACGTTCCCTTCAGCACCTCTCCAACAGCTGAATACTTGCATCGCGTACTACGTCAGCAAACAAGAAAACACCCAAAGGGGATTTGTGCATAGACTTAGAGGCCGGGTGCAAGGGAGAGGGAGGTACAACTGAAGGCCATTCCAGCTCCTTACATGACATACTTCCAAGACGGTCGACTTCGTTGCCGTCGTCCTACCCCTCTTCCTTCTCGTCATTACCACTATCATCATCAGCATCACCATCACCACCATCATCATCATCATCATCATCATCAGCATCATCATCATCCTGCTCCTCGTTCTCCTCGTCCTCATCCTTCTCCTCCTCCCGCCTCCCCTCCTCCCAACTCAAAGCAGATCTCCAGGCTTCTCCTAGAACGAATCATGTCCAGGATCTGGAATCGGATACAGCCGAGGGGTCCACTGGAGGCACCCAAAAAACTACTAATGTGAAACTCATCGTCGTCGTTGTTGTCGTCCTCCTCGTCCTCCCCCGCGCACTTCCACGCGCCCGGGACAGGGGGGAAACTGGGGAAGGAAGAGCAAGACGGACGAAGACGAAGGAGGCGGGGGGAGGAGGGAGAAGGACAAGGATGATGGGGCAGAACCGGCGGCAAGAGGAGGAGGATGCTGATGCTGATACGGATGATACGGAGGAGGAGCGCACGTCCCTCGGCGGGCCGCTGGTTAGTGTCTCGTGAGCGCCGCATGGCAGATTGACTGTTGGAAGCTGTAACTGCCGAACTGTTGAGGGTCCTCAATCAGCTCGGCACGACGGAGGAGGAGGAGGAGGAGGAGGAGGAGGAGGAGGAGGAGGAGGAGGGGGGCCAGAGTAAACCCAGGATTCATCAACGATTTTGCAATTCAACCTCCCGTCCCAAGTCCCCTCCCCCTAAGTCCCAACAAGGATTCATTTACTGTGGCAAACGCCTCTCATGAAGGACGAGCGCCCGGTGGACATGCCAATCGGATGGCGAAACCCCGACTTGTAAAGGATTCACCCTTCATCTTTCTAGGTAGATGGAATGCCGATACTTCGCCGACGCGGGGGTCCCCAATGTGCGTCTCGGTTCCTGGCGCACCCCCCATTTGTGAGTGTTTGAGAGAGAGAGAGAGAGAGAGAGAGAGAGAGAGAGAAAAAAAGAAAGAAA